CTGCCTGGGCTGAGTGGAGCGGGGGTCCATGTGAGGACAGGGCGGGGCGAGCTTGCACCTGGACTCTGGGCAGTGGCTGAGTCACGCGGCCAGGAGGCACCACCAGCACCTCACTCTGCTCCTGGACCTTTAGGTGCAGAGGTGGAGGTGGGAGAAGGCAGGCCAGGCCTGCCCCGCGGTTCCTGTCCCCCGCCCCTGACCAGACTCCGGCTCCAGGCTCTGCCACCTGCCTTCCTGGGCATCGGCAACCGCGTGGACCTTTCCTCACCTGCCACGGCCCCTCCAGTTCCCGCCCCACCCCTCTGGCCCTCTTGGTTTGGGAGAACTCTCCAGTCTGCACGACAGCCCACCCCTGGCCATTGGTGACTGGCCCTGCAGGAGAGGAGGGGACTGCACCCTTGCCCTGCCCCCCATCACCAGAGTCCTGTGGCTCCAGGAGCCCAGGTGATGGGGGAGGCCAGGGATCAGGTCTGGGGCAGCGGGCAGTTGCCACAGAACTGGACAGTGCAGGCCCGAGGACAGGAATAGAGTAGAGCATGGTGACCCGCGGGTCCAGGGTGAAGGGCCAGAGCCCTGCACAGATGCCCCGCTTCTGTTCTGCCAGCGGCAGGACGCCTTCCCCAGCCCTGCCGGCCAAGCCCAAGGGTCTCCGTCCCCGGAGAGAAGGGTGGCGCTTCCTTCGTTCATTCAGGAAACATTGAGCACATCCCAGAGCCCGGCACTGCTCAGGGCCCTGCAGAGTCACACTAGCCCCACCAGCACGGAGATGACATTCCAGAGTTTATTGCCTTCAGGCCAGCAGGGGAAGCGCCCTTCATTTGACCATGGAACCTGTCCTAGGGTGCAGAGTGGCGGCACAGTGGCCCCCACTCCTCCCTCTTTCCTCTCTTCCTGGAGCCCCAGGAACGAGATGCCCCTTAGGCATCCCTTCTCCCGGCCTCACAGGCTACTGGCTTCTGATGGTCCTTCATCTTCCTTCCAAAGCATTTTTACTGATTTCTATTAAAAAAAAAAAAAAAGATGAGGTGGGACCTTAAAAGAGTGGGCAATGCATCAATGCATGGTGAACAAAGGTGGTCCCTGGAGGGAAACAGCCTGCTGTACCCCCAGCCAGCCCCCAGAATTACCACCCCCTGGACTCTGGGCAGTGGCTGAGTCACGCGGCCAGGAGGCACCACCAGCACCTCACTCTGCTCCTGGACCTTTAGGTGCAGAGGTGGAGGTGGGAGAAGGCAGGCCAGGCCTGCCCCGCGGTTCCTGTCCCCCGCCCCTGACCAGACTCCGGCTCCAGGCTCTGCCACCTGCCTTCCTGGGCATCGGCAACCGCGTGGACCTTTCCTCACCTGCCACGGCCCCTCCAGTTCCCGCCCCACCCCTCTGGCCCTCTTGGTTTGGGAGAACTCTCCAGTCTGCACGACAGCCCACCCCTGGCCATTGGTGACTGGCCCTGCAGGAGAGGAGGGGACTGCACCCTTGCCCTGCCCCCCATCACCAGAGTCCTGTGGCTCCAGGAGCCCAGGTGATGGGGGAGGCCAGGGATCAGGTCTGGGGCAGCGGGCAGTTGCCACAGAACTGGACAGTGCAGGCCCGAGGACAGGAATAGAGTAGAGCATGGTGACCCGCGGGTCCAGGGTGAAGGGCCAGAGCCCTGCACAGATGCCCCGCTTCTGTTCTGCCAGCGGCAGGACGCCTTCCCCAGCCCTGCCGGCCAAGCCCAAGGGTCTCCGTCCCCGGAGAGAAGGGTGGCGCTTCCTTCGTTCATTCAGGAAACATTGAGCACATCCCAGAGCCCGGCACTGCTCAGGGCCCTGCAGAGTCACACTAGCCCCACCAGCACGGAGATGACATTCCAGAGTTTATTGCCTTCAGGCCAGCAGGGGAAGCGCCCTTCATTTGACCATGGAACCTGTCCTAGGGTGCAGAGTGGCGGCACAGTGGCCCCCACTCCTCCCTCTTTCCTCTCTTCCTGGAGCCCCAGGAACGAGATGCCCCTTAGGCATCCCTTCTCCCGGCCTCACAGGCTACTGGCTTCTGATGGTCCTTCATCTTCCTTCCAAAGCATTTTTACTGATTTCTATTAAAAAAAAAAAAAAAGATGAGGTGGGACCTTAAAAGAGTGGGCAATGCATCAATGCATGGTGAACAAAGGTGGTCCCTGGAGGGAAACAGCCTGCTGTACCCCCAGCCAGCCCCCAGAATTACCACCCACCCCTCCAAACACACCTGAGAGCCCGCCTGGTTCCAGGGATGCAGCAGGACCCCATGAGGGCTGGAGCCCCCCCTATGGGTTCTAGGCAGCCTTCAGCCTTGAGCAGACCCTGCCCAAGAACTTGATCCCGCGCAACAGAGAGCTCCCGGGTCACAGGCACAGCTGTGTTTTATGGCACCATTCACGTGTTGGGTGGAGTATGGCCCCAGGCTGGCAGGAGGGGGTGTGCTGCCACCTGGCCAGGACAGGGGAGGATGGGGCAGGCTGGGAACGGAGGCAAGCAGTCTCCTCGCTGGGCTCCACACTGGGCTGCACTGCCCATTCACTGCACCCCCGCCAGCCTCTCAGGTCCCCCAAGGCCCAGGTCCGAGCCGATACCCTGTGGCCGGCGAGTGCCGTGCCCTGAGGGCCACTGCGGCCCCTCCAGTGAAGCCCGGAGCTGCGCACGGGCACCTACCCGCAGCACTAACACTGGTCAGTCGCCGACCATCCTGAGCCTTACCCTCCTCACGTGGACCAGCGACACCCACCTCTGCGGGGTGTTAGAGGTTAGATGCCACAGCCGGGCAGGTGGAACCATCGTAAATGGAGCCACTGTGACCGCTGTCCTCCGCCCACTCTCAGATCTCAGTGGTGGCTCCTGGTAGGGACCTGGCACTGGTGTCTCGGCCACGCAGGAAGCTCCTTCAACCGGACTGAGGAGACCAGCCCCTGGGCACCCATGTGCTTCCATCGAGGACAAGCACGGAGAGGTTTCCCCGCTGCTGGGCCAGCCCCCACCCTGAGCACAGACGTGTGCGTGTGCCCACACACACACACACACACACACACACACACACACACACACATCCCTGGAAGCGCACACATCAGGCCTCCAGGCCCAGGCAGGGCACTCCCCTGGTGGCGGGCAGCTGACTGTGGACGCCGGCATGTGCCCCAGAGAATAACCAGCGTCAAATGTCATACAAAGCCTAGGGAGTGCGGGCCCAGGTTTCACCTCCTCTGCTCCCCACGCCCACCAGCAGGGGGCCCTGACTCGCTGCGCCGGCTCTCAGCCCCTCCCGTAGGCTGTCCCAGGCTCCCCCAGCCCTCACTGCCACACCTGGACAGAGTGCTGCATATCGGGGCTAAGCTCCCAGATGAAGATGCTCTAAGGACAGGACAGATGGTAAGAAGGACGGAGAGAGTGCCGGAGAGCGGGGACTTGGCCCAGCACTTCGGCCCCCACGTGCCAAGTGCAGCGAGCTTCATCTGTCATTTTATTTCTCACCATCAACCTCACGGGGGCCTCTGCCGGTGTCCGGGGCTGAGCTCCTGACAGCATCTGCTTGTGCCTGGAATCCGTGAGCTGACCCTGAATCTAGGGCATCCCCCCAGCTAGAACCCCCACCCCACGCCCACACACATCAGTCCACCAGGGAGGCCTGCGTGTGCGCTCCCAAACCATGAAGAGATGCATGCTCACGTTCACGTGTACACCCGCGTACACACGTGCCAGGTCCTGTTGCACAGAGCTGCCCTTTCTGCCTGGCCCACCTCTCTGGGTCACCCCTCCCCACCACCCAGGTCCATTCCCCCATCTCTATTCTCTGTGCCCATCTTCCGTGCCCTGTCCCCCAGGGCACGCTGAACTCACAGGGACCCCTCCCTGGTCCCACCCTCTGGTAGGGGAGCCAAGGCCCTGGTGCAGAACCACCAGGAACTTCTCTCCTACCCACTCTGGAAAGAGAGCACCCTCCAGGTGGCTCAGAGACCAGCGCCTCCTCCCAACACCCTCCTCATCCCGGTCAGGGGCAGTAATGGGCTCTGTTCAAAGCAAGGTTAACACGCCCACCTCAGAGGGTCAGGGATTATAGGACTAAGCGACCCTGGAGGCCTTGGGCAGCACTGTTGCCCATCGGCCCCTCCTGCTGGCTGGCAGCCGCCCTACCACGGCCACTGCACGGCAGCTCCTCGGAGACACTGGGTGTTCGCGCAAGGCCAGCACGGCACGTGCGCACGCACACACTCACAAGCACACGGACGCACACGGCCACCGCCCTTCACTGGCCCCAGGACATTGTTCTGACTTGCCCCTCCGACACTGGGAATGAGCCGCCTGCAACTTCCACCCTCTCCAGGCAGCTCCGCTGGTCGGGGATCACAGGTGACCAAGTGACGGAGGTGATGGAGGTGAGGCCCGTCTGGAGCCAGACACCAGGGGGCGGGGGCTCTGGTCAGGGTTGAGAAAACCAGCGTGCCCAGAGTTGGTCTGCTGTGGGGGGCCAATTATATAGGATCCGTGTGAGTCTGAGTCCAGGTCAAGAGAAGGCCAAGTTGGGGGCTTAGCCAAATACAGCCCCAGGTTAAAGTCAGTACGGGCTGGGCTCACGAGCTGTGTGAGGGAGGAGTACAGCCGCATCAGCAGTCAGCCTGGGGCCAGCTCTGGGGGCCAGTGTGCCACCCAGCAAGCCACCATGACCCTGAGGGGCGGGACCCCAGGCCTGGCATCCCATTAGGACAACCTCTATATGTAAAGGAGTCCAGGTGGCTCTCTGCCATCCTGAATCCAGGACCACATGGAAGCAGGGCCCTCCGGAGGCCAGAGGTCCTGGAGATGACTTGTGTCAGCCCCGAGGGAGCACCCCGACGGCACAGACTCCACACCCAGACGTCAGAGCTGCCCCTGCAGGCCCTGTGCACACAAACAGATCGGCCTGGATTCCCTCAGAGAGGCCAGTGCACCAGACACTATGAACGTGAACATGGGGTACAGCGTGCTGATGGCTGCACCCTCCCAGCATCCCTGGAGTCTCCTTAGGATAATTATTTATTATTCATAGTCATCAGCATCTTCATTAATTATTCATATGATCCTTAATTATTATCCTTAACAATAAGAGCAGTAAATAGCAGAAAAGTCCTTGAGGTGCCTAAGGCCCAGGGCCGGGTGCCTCCGGCAGTTAGACCAGCTACTGCCCCCAGGGCAGTGAGGGGACCACAGACCCCCATCCACTGCCCGGCCCTGTCCCTGCCCCTCCCCACCCCGCAACGGGGCCCAGGGGACCGCAGGAGGAGATGGTCCCAAGGGCTGGAGGAGGAGCTGTGCCTTCCTATTCCTCTCCCGTCAGCGGCCAGGGCCTCCCGGGCAGGGCCTCCACAGGAGGGGCCCGGGCAGTGCACTGAACCCTGGGTGAGCCATGTGTCCACACTGGGCAGCCCCACTAACTTCCCGGGTCTGAGCCGTGTCTGTGCAGGGGCTGGGAGGTGAGGGCCCCCAGCTGGCCCGGCAGGGAGAGGCGTCGAGCAGGGCCGTCTTGGGGTAGCTCCTCGCACGCCATGAACTGGGAAACCTGCAAAGAAACCGGAGTGTGAGAAGCTAGAAGCCAAGGGGCAGGGGAGGGTCAGAGGATAGAGAGGGTCAGGATACCCTGGTGACAGACAGAAGAGGCCTGGCGGGCACAGGGGAAGCGCCAAGGCGGACAGAGCACGACTCCGACCTGCTCTGGGAGAAACGCACTCTGGGTGAGCAAGAGCCAGACCGGGCATCTGGGGGCCTCGGGAGCTTCTGCCTGACTCGGGGAGAGCCTGAGGCCACAGCCGCTCCCCTCCCCAGGGAACATGGCTGCCGGCTTCAAACCCAATCCAGAATAAGGGGCCCTGAGCTGGCACAGAAGCTGTACAGAGAGAGAGACAGGGTTCTTTCCTCCAATCTAGAACTCAAGGACCTAGAAACAGAGGCAGGCGGGCGGCCAGGCCTCGGAAGGCCAGGCAGAGTACCAGGGCAGGCAGGAGGGGCTTTGTGGGTGCTGACGAGTCTGCTGTGAGATCTCTGCGGAGGCGGCTGTGAAGGGAGACTGGCACATTTGCTGACGTGGGCCCTGGTGTCTGCAAACAGGAGCAGGCGGCAGATGGGAGGGGGGAGCAGATGCCAGAGGGAGGGGTAGCAGATCCCAGGCCACCTCTTGTCGCCAGAGGAGCCCCATTCTTGAGACCCAGACACAGCTGTCCCGTCAGGAGGCCAGGAACACACGTGTCCACTTAGGAGAGGAAAGAGGGCAACAGAGGCCCATCTCTGGCAGGAGGGGAGAGATGCGGGCCGGAAGTGCTACCCTGGGGCTTAGCCAGAGCCTTCAGGACAACCCCGCAAAGCTCTCAGCATGAGAGTCAACGGTTGGCAGCAGAACCAGACCCAGGGGGTATCAGTCGCAGCAGGGGCTTGGGACCCTATCCCAAGGGCACGCTGGCACCCAGCACCCACTGCCAGGCCCCTGGCCCCTCAAGAGTCTCTCCACCCACAGCCACGACACAGGCACCCTGAGTAGATATGGCCATTCAGCTGACACTAGGGGAGCGAATGCCACTCGGCCTGCTGGCTTCCTTGGCCCAGCTGTCTGGGGGCTTTGTTGGGGGCTCTCCTGCCGTGCTCCGTGCTTGCAGCCCCTAGGGCAGCCCTCCTCCAGGAGTACAGCCTGGGAGGAGGGCAGGAACAGGGTGGGGGGCGGCTGGAGCCCGAGGCCAAGCAGAAAGGGCAGCAAAGCCGGTCTGGGGTGGAATCGGTGCAGAAGAGGCAGGGCTGGGGTGCTTGGAACTTACCTGAGAAAGCGAGTCCAGGGCGAGGGTGGGGATGGGGCTGACGGGCAGCAGAGGGGAGGTGGAGGTGGGGCCGGGCCCCGGGGTGGTCACAGCACTGTAGGCAGGCGGGACCAGCGTCATCTGCCTCTGCAGCAGCTGCAGGACAGTGGCCATGTCTGCACTCAGCCGGGTCTCCAGCCTGGGGCAAGAAGGAGGAGGATGCCCTGGGTCTCAGGGAAGTGGAGACACCAGTGACTGCGACTTCAGGACCACCCTTTGGACAGCCAACTGGTCAACCCCAGGTCCACTCTTCATTCTAGGTGTGGCAGCCCCTGGCTCGGCTCTGAATGCAAGGAGAGGGTCAAGCTGCTGGACACGTGGACAGGCCTAGACAGAGCAGACACCCACTTCACCCTACAACACTGCCCGAAGCCCACAGACCACACTGCAATATGCCCATGCCCCACCCCTACTAGCCCGCCCCCCTGGACACACACAGCCGGGCCTAGGCTGATCCCAGGGACCACCCTCACCTGTTAAGCTGCCTCTGGAGGGCATCCAGCCTGCTCTCCACATCACCCCGGGGCCGGCGGCCAGGGCTGGAAAGAGGGATGTTGAGGAGGCTGGGGGCAGGGGCGGGGCAGCGAGGCAGCTCCTGGTACTGGCGGCCCCGGCTGTCCCCCCAGAAGCTGAAGATGTTGGACACTCCTGAGAAGGCGCCTGGAGCCAGAGAGCTGGGTTGAGGCCGGGACAGAGGCCACGCCCCGCCCGCCTGCCCAGGGGGCCCTCACCCTACCTGACAGTGGGTTACAAGTGTCGCTGCTCTTCTCTCCATCCTCAGTCAGGGGGTCCCCACCCGGCGGCTCTCCGGGGGGCCTGGGGCTGGAGAAGGGCACCAGGCGGAGGGGGCTGGAGCTGCGGCCTGGGCCCTCATCCTCACTGCTCTCAGGGCTGGAGGGGCCGCTGGACAGGCTCTCCCCCCACGGCCCCCCCTGACGGCCCCGGCCACTCAGCCCTGCCCCCGCCCGGCTCGGCCCCAAGGCCGACACCTCCCCTGGCTGTTCCGGGTCTGTGGGAAACAGAGAAGGGGCCTCAGAGCAGGCAGGCGGCAAAGAAGGGAGGGGAGGGGAGGGGAGGGGACTGGAGCAGGTCTGGGAGACGACTGTGGCTGGACGCCCTGGTTTGTCCCCAGTTGTTTCTTCCGCTCTCTTTCCCCCACTTTCAAGAGGACTGAGAACTCTGAGGGCGGGACCAGGTCGTCTGTGACCACTGGCTGCCCAAGCACGGGCAGTGGCACTGCTGGGAGGGGCTCTCTGGGACCCCGGGCCCTCAGCCCCCCGTGCTGGCCTCCTTGCCCTCCTTTGTCCTGTCTTTCCTCCCCTCATCAGTTCAAAGCAGTGCCCACCAGGACGCCAGCCCAGTGAGGACCAAAGAAACTTAGGCACGCCCCTGCCTTGGAGGGTGGAAGAGGGCTTCCTGGAGGAGGTGACATTTCAAGTGGGCCTGAAAGGATGGGGTGATGGGGTGGGGGGCGGGACACTGAAGGTAGGGCCGGATGGTCTGTGTAGCCTGGAGGGAGCAGACCCGCCGGACCCCGTGCTCCGCCCTCCGACCCGCCTCCTCTAGATCCCGCCCCCCGCCGGCC